CTTAAGTGGAGAGCAAATGTTTTGAGAATGACAAGGGCAATGAATGTACAAATGTGCTTTACACAATTGATGTATGTATGGATTGTTATAAGAGTCGTATGAGCCCCCAATAAAACAATTAAAAAATAATTCAGTCTAAAGTACTGCAGCACGAACAGAAAAGATGAAGGGAATATGCGGAAATATGAACAATTGGTAAACACATATGATGGGTATTATGGGTTGCGTATACTAACCTCTCTACTTTCTGATTACTTGTTTACTAAGCAATGTTAAGTTTCGATAATAATCGACTATTTTGAGTTTCAGAGAGACCAAAGTAATTTGCATGCCAGTATATTTTAAATGCTCAATAGCTAAATAGAGAATTGAGTATTTCTTGCTTTCCCCCTTTTACCAGTTGCTTTTACTTGCTAATTCCTGAGGCAAACAACTTCAAGGATGAGTGAACTGGAACAGTTGCGGCAGGAGGCAGAACAGCTGCGAAGTCAGATCCAGGTAAGGGCTCACTGGTTTGTTTGAAAGTTTCACACTTCTGTGTAGCACGGGCAGGGAGCGCTGGTGGCATAGGGCTTACATATCTGGCTGTTAACTGCTGTGCTATGTTCATTAATGCTTTCTATTTTACCTCTGAGTTTTAATATTCATTGCACTGGCTACACAGAAATCACAGTCCAAATTCCTGAGTAAAGGGCTTATTAAGGAAGCTTAACAAGTAGTCATGCCAGTGAGAAATACTCAGGGTTGAGTGCTCATCAGGCCAAGGTACTTTCAGAGTTCTTTCAAGTTTGCTAATAAATGCCCAAAGGGGCACACTCCTCCACTGGAAGCCTCACTGAAAGCCTTCAACCCAAGCCCCATAGGTCAGTAAACCCAGCTCCCTGAATTAAGGATCCAGAGGCACCCCACTCCCTAGCCTGAAGACCTCAGCTCCATGGGCCCCTCACTTCCATGGGTTGGCAAGCCCAACTTCCCCATTTCATTGGCCAGAAGCACCCCACTCCTGCCTAAAAGCTCTCAGGTTTACTTGCTCCCTAGGTTGGGAAGTCTGTTACTCTGTCCCATGCTTGGACTCCTGGTCTGGCTGCTGCTCCTCTGATAGAACAGCTGTCTTCTGGCCCCAGGAGGTTCACTGTGCAGGAAGCTCAGGTGCGGTGGACACGCCCCTCCCCTGCGCTTGCTGGTAATGAGATCCTGGGTCCTACTTCCCAGAGGGCTCCTTTTACATACAACAGGAAGGCATTCCAGGGAGTCCTGTCTGCATTTACTCTCAGGATCTTCTCCCACCTTCTTACCAGGCCCATGCAGTGAAGGGTCATTTGATGGGAGAAACTTGCGCTAAAAGAGCCACATTAAATAATTCACTACCCCTGCCAACTGCAAGGTCAGCAATTTGAAGCCAGCAGCTGCTCCACAAAAGAAGTATGAGGCTTTCTACTCCCATAAGGATTTACAGTCTCAGAAACCAACAGGGGTGTCTGTCCTATAGGGTCGCTGTGAGTTGGAATTGATTCGGTGGCAGTGAGTTTGGCTTGGGTTTGGTATTTAGTATCAGCAATTGCCTAGTGAGGACTCTAATCCAGTGCTACTTTTCCACCCTCATTGCTGGTCACCCCTGTGGCACGCTCGCCCAGAGCTCACATGTTGGTAAAAACACAATCCTTCAGACAGCTAGATAGGCCGGCACAAATCACAAGTCTGTGGAGGTCCACACGACACCCCAGCTGTCTGACCTACTGGTCACGCATTCAGGGCTGATTTCCCACTACCCCCCCCTGAGATGGCAGCCACGCACTTGTGAGACCATGAGATACCCATACGGTCTGACCTGGTGGCTCCTGCTGTGCTGTTGAATTCAAGTTTCCTGGACTGACTCCGAATATATGAAGACCGATGACCACAGCTTTCTTATAATCAGAAAGGATACAAAAAACGTTAGAGAGTGTGATCTGCGAGGGTTTCCACCCCAGGCTCCCGTGTCTCAAACACGAGCAGTCCTCCTGCCCTCTGAGATGGTCTTCGATCAGGAAGCACTCTGGGCTGGGTGCTCTGGGCTTGCCTCAGCCAGTCTTAACATGATAGGCTAACTCATGACCTCCCTCCCTGGTGAGTCTTCTTTGAAACAGACACAAGCTCCTCTTGAACGAAACCCCAAGAGTTTTGGAACTTTTAACCATCATAGGCGGTGTTGGCAAATGCAGTGGTGTCAAAGGCATGTCTGCGGAGGGGATTTTTCCATGGGTGTACATGTCCTACAATGCAGGTAGCAATTCCTGGGGGACAACACCAACAGTCACTTGTTTGGAACAGTGGAAACCCAGGTCCCCTTTCAGGAAGCTTTGCTTGGTGAGCAGGAGGAAGACTTGTGAGCAGCCTGGCAGCGCCGCCTATGTTTGGCTTGAGAGACGTAAAGGTTTAGTTTAAACTGACACATACACGTGAAGGGCTTCCCACCACCTCGAAGCTGAGAGAATCCCGGGTACCTTGGAACACTCAGTGGCCCTCTGCAAGATGAACCAAGCATATCAAAGGACATGCATGAAGACTCCGTGTCCATCGGAAGTGAGGACAGTGGCAAAGGAAGACAAAGATAATACAAGAAGAAAGAGGACAGGAGAGGCAGAACAAGGGAGGGATGGACACTTGCCTAAAAAATATTGATCCTGAGAAGATAGAAATCATAACCAAGCTTAGGACCATGGATTGAAGGAAGTTGATGGTTTTATAAAAAATAGGCCTGGTGGCATAGTGGTTAAGGGGTGGCACTGTGCTTCTGTGCTCATATGCTCCCCGGTAGGTTGTTGGTTCAAACCCACTGGGCCGGAGGAAAGGCTTGGTAACGTGCTCCTGGACAGGCTACAGCCCAGGAGAGCCTGCGGAGCAGTGTTACTCGGACACACGGGGCCGACGTGAGTGGGATTGGACCTGGTGGCGCAGAGCAGAAGCGATTGAGCTAGGAGTGCAAAGTCTGAGCAGTCGTGGCCTCGGACGTCTGAACTAAGGAGAGGCTTATTTTGCCTGAGCCGGTCAGAGCTCTGTGGGAGACGTTGCCGCCGCCAGCAGAGTGAAGGCCCTAGCGCCTTTGCCTCTGTGTTACTTGCTCCCCATGCTGACTGGCCAGGCATATGGTCACCTGCTGGTCTCATTTAGGCCTCAGGGCAACCCTGTGTGGCAGGTGGTATTATTTCATAGTTGAGGAAACTGAGGCTCAGTGAGATGAAGTACTTGCCAAACCAAACACCAAAACAAAATGACCTCATTCCCACCGAGTCACTATTGACACATAACTCTATGGGACAGGGTGGACCTGCCCTGTGAATTTCCAAGACTACCTCCTTTTTTTAAAAAAAATCATTTTATTGGGGGCTCATATACCTCTTATCACAATCCATACACGCATCCATTGTGTCAAGCACATTTGTATATTTATTTCCATCATCATTTTCAAAACAGTTTCTGTCTACTTGAGCCCTT